AAAATTCCATCGTGTAGGAGTCGAACGAGGTAGCCGTTTTTTTTTTACAACCCTTGTTCTTTTTGTAGAGCGGGAGAAATAAGCAGAAAATGCAGAGAGATTGGCAGAAAAAACTCTTATAGCCTTATCTATTAAGCAACACTTTTTAATTACTAGATTTAATTGGTGCGCGTAGCAGTGAATATATTGGGCATTTGCATAGATGTTTTTAATTTTGGCTTGTATCCGTCCAACAATACCACTCTTTACGGACGCACCATCGTAATTTTGTGCTATTAGTTTTTTAGGTACTTTGTCAATTCCTAGTTTACTTAATACCTCCAGAATTGCCGCCGAAAGCCCGTCTGCAGTGTGAACCATTGGTCTCAAAAAACTCCAAAACCTTTCGTAAATCCGACCGTCTCTTACATATCTGATTATCAAAACCATCTGTATTTGAGTTCATGCATCAGTTGTTATATATTACAAAACGAATTACTGAAATTTACGGCCCCAAAAGATCAACAAACTAAATGTGACCACTCAAAATGCATTTAACTATGTATGTGGCTATTTAATCAAAAAATCGTTACATATCCAGTCTTGCAAAATTTGCGTAAATTTTTCAGAAGAATGCAATTTACTTAACAATTCTAACTTGTTAACCCATTTTAAAGCATACGACTCTGAAGAAAAGGTGTTTGGCAATTTAAAATCTCCCAGCGAAACATTTCTCTTTTATATTTTCAAATTAGAAAAAATATTTATATCTCTATTTGATAGTTTGTCAACTAAGCCTGGAATTTCCAACGCTACCTTTTTGAGATAAGCATAATAGAATTTGGTTATCTTTGCCAACAATTTGCGAAAATGTACACCATTAAATTATTTATAAGACTCAGAATATTTTATACTCTTAAATATGCAAACAGAGATTTGAAATCCTCGAAAAAGTCAGATAAAACCAAAAGAAAAATTAAATTTTTTTTTTCATCATATTTTTGACAGCTTTATAAAAAAAAAGTTATTTTTCTTTGTAGTTTTATTTATTAACTATTCCAATTGTTCAACTAACGTTTTTTCGTAATCACAATAAATAAATTATTATCATGGTCCAACAAACGCGCATCTTAAGCCGAAACCGGCATCGCCTTTGTGAGGGAGCCGGTAAAGATGCCGCTGCGTACATTCGTATCTGGTCTATGTAATCTGTGCCATATTCGCTCCGTGCGCGACAGCAGCGCCAATTTGTTTTGGTATTAAAGGAGTATTTCTGCCTATACTGACAAATACAATTTTTAATAGAATTCGTAAATAAAAAGTATATATGTTAGTTTTAATAAAAGTATATGGATTTATAAAACAATTAAAACATTAATTTATTATTATTATATATTTTTTACGCTTAAATTGAAGAAAATTATGTATAATCATTAAAAATCAATAATAAAATATAGGCAGGCAACAGTATTTACTGGAAAATGTATGAGAAGTTGCCTAAGTCTAATAAGTTGTCATTGAAGAAACCATTTATAATAGCGTAAAGTTAAAATGTATAAAAAGGATCGCTACTTATATTTTCATTTTTGTTCTAAAGAAAACATAGAATGAATGATTAAAACTGGTTTCCGATCAGTAAGTCACAAAATTGCACACCAGCCAAATATTATAATAACGGCAGAAATCTTGAAATCTAGTCCTTGCTGAATGAACATTTAAGAATAAAGGGATATTAAAGAACATCGTAAAATGATAATTTATTGTTTATTTAAAAACTTTCTAGTTTCTGATGTCTACTATTTCCAGCATTACTGTTATTATCACAAAAATAAAGGTAATTTTTCTTCTTATTGTACACCTATCCATTTATTTCTTTGATTTAATTTCCACTTTGTTAGTGAAATTTGTTATATAAGTTTCACTGTTTTTTTTTTGCTAGTATTTGTACAATTTTCAACACAGCAACTCCGGTTGCTTATTGTGTTGTTTTTACCTACTTTTTTGAAAAAAAGTAAAATGTATACGTGTATTTGATATGCCAAAATTACAAAATATCCCCCTAAAATGCACGAATTATCCGCAGCTAGCGCTAGTATCGCTTTTGCTTCCCTTTCCATGACTTCGCACGGAGCGAATACGTATAATCCATCGCATGTGTTCATCTCTTGCTAAGCGCTGTTGTCGTTGTCCTTGTTTTTCGCATCATAGTGAGAGAGAAAACAGCAGAGGCACACATTTACTGTGCCCTGTGCCCATCTTTCACTTAATTTATTTAGTTATTTTTTTTGTTTAATATACTAGGGCACGTGCCCAAGTGCCCTTACGGGTAAACCGTCACTGGTAAAGCCTAAAATATTCAAAAAATCAAAACGAAGTTTATTGATTTAAAAAAAATCTAATTAAAAATGGGGGGTTGAAGGGGATTGAAATGTAAAAAAATCAAAAACGAGAACAGAAAACGATATCAGCTTAAAATTTTTAGGAAAATCAAGCGCTATGAGGGAACGAAGCCTATGAAGGAATGGTATATTAAAAAAAAAAAAAACAAATCAAACACGAAAAGCGACATCAAGTTAAAATTTTTATTAAAAATCAAGCTCTATAAAGGGTCGAAGACCATTGATTCTAAAACAATCTGAATAACAATTAGGGGTTAAGGGAGAGTTAAAAAGTTAAATAAAAATAAAAACTCAGAAACGAAAAATTTTATGACCTTGAAATTTTCAGTAAAAAGTTAAACTCTATAAGGGGTAAACCCTGTTGATTTTGAAAAACCAAAATCAAAATGGGGGTTACTAGGGTTAAAATTAAAAAAAAAAAACAAATTAAAATCTAAAAGCGATCTCAATATGGAATTTTTAATAAACATAAAGCTTTATAAAGGGATAAAGCTTACTGAATGAAAAAAAAATCTCAATAAAAAAGAGGGTTAAGGGGGTTGGAATATTTCAAAAAATTCTTACTGAGAAAAAAAAACAAAATCACCTTGAAATCTTCAGAACAAATCAAGCTCTACAATATAATATTTAAAATTTATTCTACTTCGTAAATTGTAAAGTTTCATATGGACTATTATGCAATTTCATTTAATATTTTCCTATACATATTTGCTATTATAGTTGAAAAAAAATTTTACATTTACTCCAAAGAAACTGTAAAATATTTGATTTACTTAATAGTCTTGAACTTTGATATCTTTGTCAATAAACTGATAACTGATAAAAAAAAAAACATTTTGATAAGAACATTTTACAAGTACTTTAAATTATACGTTTCTAATATTCTAAGTTATATAAGTACTTGTCCAATTATCATAAGAGAATGTAGCAGAGTCTTGTTGCAAGGATTGTTTATGGTTATAATAATTCTGACTTGAGACTCTAAAACCCACGAATAAATGTCAAAATTACATTAAGAAAGTATATTATCTGTTTAATATATTTATCTGTTTGCAACTTTTATTGAAGCTCAAGATAATTGTCAGAAAAGACCACCATTTATGTTACAGTGTGGCAACAGTGTAAAGCAGGAAACATAGTTATACGAGTTTATTCATTTATAAAAAACGTGCTCAAATAAACACAAAAAAACATCCCTACCTAATTTATGAGTCTCGCTATTTCAAAAGTGCCAGCCGATGCAAAAAATATGGGCTTAATTATAACTAATGAATTGATTAGTCAAGTAGTTTTTCATAATAACATCATGAAAATAATTTTTCGCGAGAATCGGTGGTTACGTGACGCATCGAATTTTTTTTATAAAGTTCTATTTTTATTTAAGTGCGTGCTTGCACAGACGCGTATTCCGATTTACGAAAAAAAATGTGAATGTTTTTACCAATAACTAAATACCAAAGTGAACAAATTATTATTTGCAAGAATTATCCAAATTAATATCCTAAATGCCTTGATTGCTGGCAAATTCATATTTTAGTAGTATCTGTTTTATTTCTTATGGAGTCATCTTTGGTAGCCCAAACTCCAGTTTGCGTCGTACAGGCCATACAGGGTGTTCCATCTTAGACGAGCCACGCCGTATATTTCTTATCCCATAGTAATTGGGGGACATCTTTTGACGTATATTTGAGGCTTGAAGGAGCAACCCATATAAAGGGGCGCTTTAACCCCTCAAAATTAAATATGGAAAGGGGTTGAGTGATACTTCATTTGTAAGGTCTTGGAAGCTTCTTTACATCGGTATATGAAAACAATTACATTCTTAAAAAAAAATTAATTGGTTTATCACATGAAATGATCGAAGAAACGTAGTAAAGAGGCTTCCAAGACCTTACAAATGAAGTATCACTCAACCCCTCTTCCCTATTCAATTTTGAGGGGTTGAAGCGCCCCCTCAGAGGGAGTTGCTCGTTCAAGCCTCAAATATACGTCAAAAGATGTCCCCTAAAGAAAATCATCCGATGTGTTTCGGGAAATTTTTCCAATTACTATGGGATAAGAAATATAAGGGGTGGCTCGTCTGAGATGGAACATCCTGTATAAATCCCCTGTTGGAAAGAGTCGTTTATTGCGTTAAAAACAACAATTTTTCTACGAGCATGAGGAAAATAAAAAGAAAATAACAAGAACATTTTCTAACGAAACAACATTTATTTTTATAAATTTAACATATAAACCCTAAAATGCTTAGAACGTAAAAATAACTTTTTCCAAAATGTAAATAAATGTTATTTTATTCCGCTCTATAATTTCTCCATAAGTGTATAATAAAAGAATTCTTTCTAAACTGAAGGTCATATTAAAAGGTGTCATTTTCCGCACGATTGTAGAAAAAGTACTTTATATCATATCAAGTGACACATCATCTTCTGTTAATATCACGAAATTTTCCTTTGTACCCTGTATCATACATATATTAAATAACAGGAAAGAGAAGATTCAGTAATTATAAGTATTGGTAACAATTATGTTTTGCTATTTTAATCATTTTTCTCCTATCATTATAATAATATGCTGATAAAATCGTTACGTATTTTAAGTCGAGTATATTTAGATAACCTTGTAGAAAAATGGAGAGGCTGATATTATGAGAGCAAATCGGTATTAAGAAATCAGTGATTTTTTACATTTTGTGGCGTACTTTACTCAAAAGTTCATCGTTAAAATGGCAGCACCTTCTGTGAAGTTAAATAATGGCAGGGAAATACCAGCTTTCGGGTTAGGAACGTGGAAAGTATGTATTTAAAAATAGATTTTCTATATTTGCCAACACTAGGAGTGTTTGTTTACAAAAAATAACCTGTTATTTTGTTATGAACACGTGGAAAATTAATTTAAGATATGTCATTATTATTTTGTATCGCTATTTAGGTAATTTTTAGTTCTTTTATTATTGTTACATTTTTGTTAAATAAAGATAATATATTTAAGTCGAAATATTCTTTTGCCATGACTGTTATATAATACAGAGTCGTCTCACTTGAAAATTATTAATTTTATTAACAATTATATAGATTGTACTATTTACTTATTTTAATAGAATAAATGAATGGCTCAATTCCAGAGTTGAATAACCAACAAAATTTTAAAACCTTTTTTCGTATATTATTGTTATAAAATCATTTCTGTACATGCCCAAGTTGCCTGTTTCTTAAAATTATTCGTTTTCGGTGCCACATTCAAATAAAGTGCTTTGATTTCCATTTTTTCAGTTATAACAATTTCTTTATACAAGGTGTTTCATAACTATTAGGACATAGGTTAAGGTCAGGTTATATGGACCAAAATATGGCGATAGGATCAAATACCTATACCATAATTAAATATTGCTGTGAAATAAGATACAGGGCGTTAAATTTGAATTTTTTTTTGTTTTTTTTTTTGTGATAATGTTATTGCATATTTATGAATTATTATTAAAATCGGCATAGAGGCATAGCTTTCGGCAAGGAATATTATTTTATGTATTATTTCACATTTTGTTCTAGGGGCGCCATGTGAATAATTCCTATTGATGAAATTAAGTGGTAGCTTTCTTTGACGAAACTTTTTGGTATTTTTGATTAGAAAACATGACATAAACATCATTTCTACGTAATATTAGTGGTTTTGTTAAAACACGATCATTTCATCCGTTTTCGAGAAGTAGATCAGAGTCTCAGAGGGGGATTTCAAAATATATTTTTTCATTTATGAAAAGTGTGCTTTGGACTATCAGATAAGTGTGTCTGATAAATGTCATTTCTTGTCATGTCCTGTTATTTTTGCTGTGAAATTATATTCTATTGTTTAACATTATATATATATCTTATTCCTCAGCAATATTTTATTAAGAAATATTTGGTTTTATCGGTAGATTTTGGTCCAAATAATCTGACCTTACCCTATGTCCCAATAGTTATAAATCACTTTGTATATTATTATTTTAAAATAATTTCTGTGTATTCAAAAGTTGCTTATTCATTAAAATTATACGTTTTCAGTACCAATATCGGTACCTAAAGATTAGACAATTCTTTGATCCCAATTTACTCACTTTTAATATATTGTTGTTTAGGCAACTCTGTTAATGAACCACTCAAATAATATTGAAACTACGAGCATTATGAAAACTAAAAAATTAATATTTTCAATTTAATAAATTTAGTTATTTATCTGCAGAAACTATTAATAATCTTCATAGCAACAGTGGTTGAGGGCTACCATAAACATGATTCCATAAAAATAAAAACAATATTAAAAATTAAAACAATGTGAAGCATCATAAAAGTTAATTATTACTTTAAATAATAATTTTATTCTTGTCATGAACAAAATTTTGTTCAGTATTGTATTTAGGTGTTATTATAAGAAACTTAATAAAATTTTTCTATCAAATGTAACATTTGTTTCATGAAACCAAATTTCCTAAAATTTAATAACTTTCATGTTTGAAATAATTATTTGTATTAGCTACCACCACATTTCTTTAAATTTAATAACTTTGATGTTTGAAATAAATAATTGTATAGGTACATGAATAAGAAACAAATCGGAGTTTATATTCAAACTACTCCATTTCTTTCTGCGAGAATGGTTGTCTTGTATTAAACAAAATTTATTTTACATAAACACATAAGAATGATTTGTGTTCCGGTTTCGACTTTGATTATTAATAAATAAAGAAATAGCTGCAGGTACAAAAGAAATCTATTTACAATTTATAAAATTCTACTAATCACAAAAATAATAATTACGAAAAAACTAACTTATAAGTAGGAAGAAAAGTTCGCAGAGGATAGAGATCACTCTTACTTTTTGAGTCGTCAAAACGCGGGAGATCGAAGTACCCAGTACTTGCCCATAAAAAGGCCGAACACCCCCCACCTAACGGTACATACCAATAAAATAAAGATTAAAAATAATGACAAAATACAAAAACATTTGTGATTATGATTTAAAGATACGCAAAACAAATTTCTATATTACACAAAGAATTTTAATTTGAAAATTCTTCTCGGACTATTAAATCAGCTTTTTCAATGCCCTTATAGCCTCAGTGACCTAAGATATGTCTGTATGAACTACCCAGCTCTGTTAGGGCTTCTAGTCAGTCCCACACAATTGGTTCCAAATATTCTTTAACTAAAACAATAAACCCATTTTCTGTGTAAAGTTTAAAATTAAATGTTAATTTTAGTTGCCTCATAATAGTAGATTAGATTTGATTATATCTGTGGGCAATGTAGCCTCGTAGCCTCTCCCACCACGATTGTTCCGATCTATTGTTTTGACCATAAGTTGCCTTCTCTAGGTTGGTCTTAACTGCTGAGAAGGTCTATCAAGACTGATTTTCCTTACACTTGGAGAATAAAAAATCAAGAGTAATTAGGTATAATAATAGTTTTTTCCTAGTCTACAGAATCTACTAGAACAAACCAAACTAGACAAAATACTCAAAGTATTACCACAATAGATCTATAAACGTTTAGGTATAGAAGGCTACATGACCCACACTTCTAGCCAAATCAAATATAATTCGTCATTTCTAGTAGATTTCATAAAATAGTCAATAGATATTTGGTGCAGCTAATTGGCTGACATGCTATTTATTTTTCCAAGTGTAGGAAATTTAAAAAAGATCCCTTTTGCCAAACTGTTCTTATGAATATGTCTTTTAAACCTACAATGCCCAGTTAATAGGCCTGCTTGTACTCTAGTATTTTTCCTATTTTAGCTCAGTAGATTCTTGGTGAATTTTGACGATGATCCTTTCATGAATTTTCTGGCATCTCTGTCCTGGTAAAAAGTTTTATCCTACCTGAGATTTGTTTAACAACCAATATTTTGTGACACTACAGAAGAGTTCTGGGATAAAAAGTTTATTAAGGCTCTTACGTGGGATAGTATATGAGCCTTGATTGTCCTCAAGTCCTCTGGAAGTGCTTTCAAGCATCTCCACAAGCTTCGGGTAATTTTTTTTTGCTAGAAATCCTTGATGCGCTTAATAAGAATTCTATACTGCATGGGTGTGTATAAGCACTGTATACCCACTCTCTATATCTGTAACGTATGGGGACTGGGTTAATTCACGGCACTTAGCCCTCACTAGGCCTATTGTGTTTTCTCTTAAGTAGATAGATTGCTCCTAGCTAGTGAGTCAGCCTACAGATTTAATGTAGTTAACAACGTCACCAAGAGGTGCTTCTCTTATAAAGGCCGGTGTTATCCAATTCAAAACGTACACAAATCTTCAAATAAATGAGAGCGTGTGGAAATCGTAGAGGATATGCTCGATGGCCTCATTTTCTTGTTCGCATCCCTGGCTTCTTGGAAAATGAGTCAGAACTTTTCGATGTGGCGTGACCTTTGATTCATCTTAAGTTGACCACATTGTTGATGGATATATTCACGAAAGCTTCGTAACATTTTGGTACTAACCCTAAATAAGTTCGTGGTCTGTCCAGGTTGAGTAGTGCTTGTGTGCTGTCTGTATAGATGAACATGTTTCTTCCAGTGATATTATTTCTAGTGATGTCTTTTTCTGCTATGAGAATCACCGTAAGCGCGATTTGAACTACACTGGTAATACTGCTCACAGCCCATTTTATGTTTAGGTTTAAGGATTTGGAGTATATTTCACATCCTGAGCCTTCTTTTCTTTTAAAACCGTTTGTGTAGATATGAATCGTACCTGCCACTTCCGGCTCTTCTCTTTTTTCTCTTATAACTTTATATGACTTTGAAAGAGATGGAGTCCATGTTCCCTTGAAGCAGTGGGAGCGTATCGATCGCCTCCTACCAAAAACGACATCTCGACTCAACAGATTCTACATCAGGTTCTATTTAAATCGTCCAAATATGTTGAGACATGCTGTTCTTTGAATTTGTTCTAGTTTGCGAAAAGCTATCAATTTTTGGGATTTCGTCACACAGACAACTGCATCGTATGTAAGCATGAGTCTTATAAAGTACATGCGATGACTCTGGGGGAGAAACCCTAGGTGCGCCCAATGATTCGGCGGCATTCACTGTTTATCACCAATGTATTCTCCTTTGACTCTGTATACTCACTAAAACCACCATCTGTAAGAGTCGTTTTCGGTATCACCTTTTCGAAATAACTTTAAAAACACCCTAGTTTCTATTATCCATTCTGTTTTGTGCTTTTCTTTAGGCTTTCTCGATCTTTCATAATTTCTTCCCATAATTTCGTCCCATAATTTTGTTATTACATTTCAATTCTCTTTTTGCCGTTAATTATAACTCAAATAGCATGATCTATCTCTATTCTTTCTTCTTCCCACTTTTGGCAGTCACAGATTGCATGATTACCTGTGTCCTATGTATCTACACAGCATTAGAATTCTTCGATTGTGGCCTTGCCTATTCCATACAGGTATGCATACTCTACCCTGAAAACACTTGAGTTACATGGAAGTAGGTATCTGCGTGATTTCGCCCTTTCCATATTTTTCTTTTGTGGTATTTTCCCAAATTTGAGTTTATTCCTGCATTCGCCTTTGGTATTCTTCTCTCCATTTCTTTCCCTTGACTGTGTTTTTGGTATATCTCCACTTTTCCTTAGCCTGTAGCTCAATTGGGATTTTCCTTGCGGTGACTAGCACTACTGATATAGTCCGATACACGGTATTCATGCCTTCAATCTAGATTGGTCAGGCGTATAACATGACGGAATCAGTAACTGCTCTTAGTAACTTCCTTTTATTAGAGTTAACTCTTGAGTATACTTACCTTATGTCTTAATTTTTCTTCTGTCCAGTAATTTATTGCTGCTATTTATTCCTGAAATAATGTCGCTTGTTAACCTAATCTCAGTGAGTTTCTTGCATTTGGATTAAAATTATAAAACCTACTGCTGCTTCTTCATGGGACGTCTATATATCAGATGATTTTTGAATAGGTTACTCCATTTTATGTTCTCTGTCTAGCATATTTATTTTATATGGTTTTAAAACCTATATTTTGGGAGCAATTCATCTGAATTAATTCTTATTATTTGGTCGTTTTTGAACTCAGTAGTCAAACATGCAGATTGATTATGAAGTCTTTATGTGACAAACCCGGCTTGACCTTAAATAAAAATGTGTAGTAGTGGTAGGGTTTACGTGGTCCTTAAGCATGCATGTCTTTAAATACCGTTAAGCTATCAAATGGATCCAGCTTACCGAGACTTTAGCCACCACATCACCGATCCGTTGGATACTATAAGCATTATGAGTCTGGTATATTTTTTGTTGTAATCCCCAATTTTTACTAAACAGTCTCTGACATAAATTCAATTCATTTCAGTAAGATACGAGGTGGGATTTTATTGAAGATATTATTGAAACTCAAAATCATTAATACATTATATTTTTTATCATTCTATTTTGTACTTCTCTATCTGCAACTTTAACTATATATACTCAGACAGAATTGTAAACTCGAACTATCTATTTTATATTGAATAAGACAGGGTATAATTATAATACGAGTGAATTTTAACCCCTGGTGACAACCGAGCCGATGTTAGGAGGAACAGTTATTATTATTATTATTAATATTAATATTATTATTATTATTATTATTATTATTATTATTATTATTATTATTATTATTATTATTATTATTATTATTATTATTATTATTATTATTATTATTATTATTATTATTATTATTATTATTATTATTATTATTATTATTATTATTATTATTATTATTATTATTATTATTATTATTATTATTATTATTATTATTATTAATTATTATTATTATTATTATTATTATTATTATTATTATTATTATTATTATTATTAATTATTATTATTATTATTATTATTATTATTATTATTATTATTATTATTATTATTAATTATTATTATTATTATTATTATTATTATTATTATTATTATTATTATTATTATTATTATTATTATTATTATTATTATTATTATTATTATTATTATTATTATTATTATTATTATTATTATTATTATTATTATTATTATTATTATTATTTTTATTATAATTATTATTATTATTATTATTATTATTATTATTATTATTATTATTATTATTATTAATTATTATTATTATTATTATTATTATTATTATTATTATTATTATTATTATTATTATTATTATTATTATTATTATTATTATTATTATTATTATTATTATTATTATTATTATTATTAATTATTATTATTATTATTATTATTATTATTATTATTATTATTATTATTATTATTATTATTTGTATGGGGTGCTTCTGGGCGACATTTGACTTACAGATGAGGAAAATTTCACCCACTCTCATAGGCCCATGCATGCAACATAGACCGCTAATCAGCGGTGTGCGATACGTACGATTCCTATCACATTCCCACTTACGCTCGTCTTTAATATATGTGACTTAGAATCCGCGTTTAAATTTCCGTACCTGTATATAAATTCTTAAAATTCTAATCAGACCATATCAGAAAGACACTATTTCCACGTTATAATTGGCAATTAAACTAAATTAAAAAAAATTACTTTAACCTAAACTTTTAGTCCAAACCTGGTGAAGTGACTCAAGCAGTTAAAGATGCCATCGATGCTGGGTACAGGCACATCGATTGCGCTTACTACTATGAAAACGAAACCGAAGTTGGTGCCGCCATTAAAGATAAAATAGCCAGCGGAGTAGTCAAGAGAGAAGACCTTTTCATCACCAGCAAACTTTGGAGCACGTTTCTGAAACCGGATCTCGTAGAAGTTACTCTTAAAACTTCACTCAAAAATTTGGGATTGGAATATTTGGATTTGTATTTGATTCACTGGCCGTGCGCCTTGAAGGTATGTCAGTATTTGGTTTAAATATTATTTTACAACTTCTGTTTTATTTATAGTTTTATTCAAAAAAAAATATACTATTGACTTTATGTTTCTTGTAAAGTAACATCGGTACAAATCTTGTGAGTTTATCTGGTATTTTAAATTCACGTAATATATTCATAATTTTAACCTTGTTCAAATTTTAAATTTACATACTAGGTAGTTGTTTTTTGGTAAAATAAAAATTCAGACTGTTCACTCTGTATTTAGCTAATTAAGTACGCTAGATTTATCCGTAGTGGGTGATTTCGAATCATCCAGGTGTCCCACATCTACGATATGTACATTTCACTCTAAAAACCCTGTATTTCGATTCCATACTTTTTTTTACATTGGCTATTTTATAATTTTTAGGAAGGAGGTGCTCTATTGCCAAAACGTCCTGACGATCCGGTTTTATCCATCTTCAGTAATGTAGATTATATCGACACCTGGAAAGCCATGGAGGTAGTAGCCAAAAAAGGACTAACTAAATCTATTGGTGTCTCAAACTTCAGCAAAAGACAGCTGGAGAGAGTTCTAGAAAGTGCTACTATTAAACCTGTTAACAACCAGGTAAGTAGTAGCTATTTCAAGAGAAGAAAAATCAAAGGCTTAACCCCAATAAATATATAATTATTCAAGGACAATTGATTTCATTTAATTATTATGGCAAAGTTAATGTTATTCACAAAAGTAAAGATATTGTTACGCAGGTTTTTGGTATCACAATTTATTTCAACTGAACTTTTTAACAATAACAATGTAACTGGTAACATTAACGTGTAACGTCTATCATAAAACTGAAAACTGACGTCAGGATCATCCTTATATAGCTTGCTTGACCCTTCTCGAACCTTCGCGAACTTGTACTTTTACTTATGACGACCGCAGCACACTGTAGGGCGATGAGTGACATTCCACTTCTTTTTCTATCTGTACGTTTCCTGGGTGCTCCCTCCTCTCTAGTTATTCGCCCCGAATAACCTGATTACTGGGACCTAGTTGGAACTAATGGGGAGGATCTGTACCACTCTGTACCATGGTATGGAGCTATCTTCCCAATGTGAACTACGTTGAATTTACTTCCTGCTGACAGTTGAATGCGGCAGATCAGGTCGTTGACTTTCCTTAAGGACGGAATAGGGGCCTTTTTAGTTCCGTTGCGATTTCTGACGAAGTCCTCCTCGCTGCTTAGGATCGCATCCATACCTTGTCGCCCCTCTCAAAATGTGTATATGTGGCACGCCTGTCGATTCTAGCTTCTGCTTTATCGGTGTGGGCTTTCATTCGATTTCGAGCGAATCCATAGACCTTTGTCCTGCCATTGCATACATCACATTTTTTACACCAATCCGCTACATCCCGTCGGCAATTGACCCAATAAAATTTTTCCTGAACTCGTGCCAGTGTCCTTTTAGTATCAACGTGTCCTCTTGAACGGCTGCTATGAAACTCCTCCAATACTTTCCTCACCTGTGACCTCGGCAGTATCACTTGGCGGACTACATGCACTCCATTGGGGCCCTCCCACTTCCGGTGCAATAGGCCATTGTGAAGATACAGGGAATCCCACTGTGTTCAGTAGCCTTTTATAGTTCTACTTACTGTATTTGGGTATTTCTTGCCAAGCAGGTGTGACTTTATTTTTGAGCCATTCTCGGACAACCTTTAAGTCATTGTCTTTCTTCTGTCTATATCTCAGACTTTCAAGGGTGATTTCTACTTCGTCGCCCTCTGGCTTGATAGTGGTAGCCCGAAGAGTAACTTTATCAACCGATTCTTCTCGTCCTTCGATGCTCTACTTTCTGGTTATTGTTAGAAAGCCGGCTTGGTATGGGTGATTGGTTTCTTCGAGACGCATAGCCGCTGTAATTAATTCTTGTTGGTCTTAGTGATGGGCTTGGAAAGATTGATCTATATAATTTTCCGGTCTCATTCGCTGATTCTAGATTTATAGAATGTGCCATGCTTCTACAGGTTCTTTGAAAGTGCCCGATTCTTCCGCAATTGAAGCATCTCCTGCTTCCATTTTGGCTGTTTCGATGCGTATTTCATAGGATATTTAAGATTTGGGGAATAGCATTAGTATTGGCCTCCTCACTTTCCGGGGATTTAATTTCCCTCTCTTTTTCGCGAGAAGATCTGGCTAGGAGTTTTACCGCTTCATATTCCTGGGCTGCAATCAGTTTTCCTTTAGCGTCTTGTGATGTTTTAGACGAAGGATTTTCTGGATTTCCACATCTTGTAGTCCATCAATGAAAGCTTGTATTCCGAGTTGTCCTTGGAAATTTTTCGGCACCTGTGAATAGGCCAGATGAATCAACCTTCTTATGTCAGCCTCAAATTCTTGTAGACTTTTATTTTGTTTCTTACTACGAACCTTTAGCTGGCTTTGGAATACCCGTTGCAAATGCTGCTGTCCATATCTTGTCTTCAAAGCTTGAACTAGAGATGAATAACTGAGTTCCTCTTAAGGAAGTAACTGTAAAACGGTTGCTGTCTGACCTTGCAGTGACACTATCAATGAATCCGATATCTCTTTCTCGGTTCAGCCATTGGCTCTAGCTACAGCTTCAAATTGGAGTCGATATGATTCCCATGTTGTCTGACCGTCCAACGTAGGTGGATTAACGGTCTTGCTTGTATAGTTTTGTGAAACTGAGATTCGAATGTGGCTTGGTTCGGTTATGGATGAAGACGAGTTAGTAGTGTTTTTAGTTTATCTGTTGCTTATCGAAGCTTGGCTACGAGTTCTTCTTCCTAACTCAACCATTTCAGTTCTAATTTGCCTTTCAAACTCTACTCTAGTCTTTTCCTGCTGTTTTAAAATCTTTCGTTGTTGTTCTAAATTAGTTTTTAAATGCTCTTGCTGCTGTTGCAAATTAGCTTTCAGATGCTTTGATTGTTGCTCTAACAGAGCTACTCTAATTTTAAGCTGACTAACCTCTTGCTTGAAGGTTTCCTGGATTTGTAGCAAACCGTTCATAATCTCCACCTCTGATTTTCTATGCCTCTCCTTCTTCTCCTTTTCTCGCCTTTTCTTTTCCTTTTTACGCCTTTTCTTTTCCTCCTCTTTTTCCTTCCTATGCCTTTCCTTTTCCTCCTCTTCTTCCTTCCTACGCCTTTCCTTTTCCTCCTCTTCTTCCTTCCTACACCTTTCCTTTTCCTCCTCTTCTTCCTTCCTACGCCTTTCCTTTTCCTCTTTCATCTTCAAAAACCATGCTGGTGGGCCTAATGTATTCATATCCGTTTCGTGCACAGTGAATCTGGTATAGAGTGCTTGAGTAACGTTTATTTTATATCCCAATGCTGTCACCAATGTTACGCAGGATGATCCTGACTTTAGTTTTCAGTTTTACGATAGACGTTACACGTTAATGTTATCAGTTGCATTATTATTGTTAAAGTTAAGTTGAAATAAATTGTGATACCAAAAATCTGCGTAACAATATTATAAAATAAAGAGAAAAAAAAATGTTGAATAACACTTATATAAAAGTGGTGAGAATTACTAACTAAATCAAAAATATAATCCATAGAAGCTTTAGAAAAAAGATAACATCTTGTTTTTTATACATTTGACGATGGAAAACTGTTATTACATTTAATTTAGTATGATGAATACTTTTTAATAACTCTTAAAAGTAAAATATTATTAATATAGTAGCAAATATTTTAATATATATATTTTTTGTTAGATTGAATGCCATCCATACCTCAACCAAAAGAAACTAATAGCCTTCTGTAAATCTAAAAATATCGCTGTCACTGCCTACAGTCCTTTAGGGTCACCAGACAGGCCATGGGCCAAACCTGACGACCCAGTTCTCACCGAAGACCCAAAAATCAAAGAATTGGCAGCCAAGTATAAGAAATCTAGTGCTCAAATCATTCTGAGGTACTTGTACCAAAACGGAGTTATCCCAATTCCCAAGTCTGTTACAAAGAGCAGAATTCAAGAAAATATTAAGATTTTCGACTTTGAGTTGTCGGCTCAAGATGTCGCTGTTATGGATACATTCGACTGTAATGGAAGAGTTTGCTGGTTTGTAGAGTAAGTATAGCCATTTTTATGACGTTTGTACTATCATTTTTACTTATAATTTTATGCTGATGATATTGTGATATTTTAGTTGGGCAGTTTAGATTTAATAACTGATTTCTTAACTTAGGTATATTAAGTACTTCTATAGATCTGAATTAGGGTGTGGTTCAAAATCCATTTGTAAAAAACTCTAGGCTTATTAAAGCTCTCTCAGTTTCTACCCTATTGGGTCAATATTCTTAATGAATTTAATTATACGTCTGATGAGCGCTTTCACTATTTCTTTATATTCCAGATATTTTACCCTAAAGATTCTCGTTCATATTTAAGGTTTAGGCAATGGCATAGGATGCGAATAGGAGTTTTGCTCTATTTTTACATATCCTACGTAATAAATGGCCAGATATTCCAAACAGATTTAGGCGAATTCTAACGCCGTTTTGCTCTTGAATGGACACTATATGAATATTCCTAAAGACATTACAACATAAAGATAAAATGTTTCATTCATAAATCCCATACAATTGCGGACTGTTATTGTTTTAAAATTGTTAGTGAGTGGAAGAGAGAAAGACAGATCTCTTAGTACCGGCTGGGAACGTTGTAAACAGTGTCCATAATATGCTCGCCAGTGGCGTAGAGTTTTAAACTTACCAGTATTGTCAGAGTAGTATGTTAAAAAAATACGTAAATAAGTAGGTATATTTTTTTAGTAATATAATTATGATGATTTTTTCATGTAGATAAATCAATAAGTCAGTCAGAAACTGTCAGAAATACAAAATACAATAAAATACAAAATAGCTGTTAGACCCGATTGGCAACGTTGCGGGTGGTTACGGTAACTACATTTCATTAATAAAAGTTGTAAATTCGTAAAATAAGATATTCAGCGTTGCCGTATTTACGGAGTTCTTTGCAACCCTAATATTTTGTTTAGATTAATAATGATTTTTAATAAAAAATTTTGCTTATATTAAAACTTTAAAGAATAATTTGATTAAAAACATATTTTCATTTATATAATATAAAATTATAGTTGTAGGATACATCAAATTTTATTTTTCGAAAATAATTTCTCCAAATAATTTTTACAAACTGATAAAACCGGCAAAGACGCAATAAACGAGAATTTGGTGGTAATAATGATTTGCCACATAACAATGTAAACAACTTGGTCTCTTAGTTGTAATGTCTGAATATTCTGGACTGCCTGACTCTAGGAAGTTGCAACCAGAGCCTACGTTATATTTTGTTTACCTTGACATGTTTACATGTTGACATGTTTACATGTTGACATGTTTACATTAAATAAATACTATAATATGCAGGTATTGGATTGACTCCCTTGCTGACTAGGACGTGTAATTTCTTGTTTCCCAATGCTCCATCATGTCCTGGCACCCATTTAAGAGTGATCTTGTCTATTCTACTAGAGCCTAACGTACAGTTAGCTACCCTCAGTAATGCTTTATATTTTGATATTTTAAAATTTTAACAACTTTTAAGCAATTTTCATTAATATCAACTGAATTTTGTGCTACTTGAGGTGAAGCACTATAGTATTAGGTACATTAATGGCTACAAATATTTTTTGTTTTAGGGCTGTAGGACACCCCCACTACCCTTTCAACGATGAATACTAAGTTTTTTATAATTAAAAAATTAATAAAATACGTCAACAAAACTGTAGTTTTTATTTTGATCATCGTGTTTTACGAGTAACTATAAAGGCATGCTAAAAACAAAAACCTTTTTTTTAGTAAATTACTTTTCTGCACAAAAATTGCCTAGCAACAACAGTCGATGTTTGGTGATGTTAGTGGCCATCTTTTTATTTGTCTTTGTAATTTGAGGTTGTATTTGGAAGAGGTTATTTGTAGAATATTTTCGATTTTTTAATATTTTAAGACATTATTTTGTTTATAAGTAAGTGGTGTATGTTTTTTTTTTATAAATAACTATACAGTGCGTACAAGATTAATTAGGTTATCAGTATAAATATAAATATGGGGGGTCCATTATTACTACAAAATAATATAATTATATATATTTTTTAATTAGAACACATTGTATTTGTCATAAATAAATGTACCTAAATCTTGCACAAAAATCATACTTTTTGATACAATTGAAAATATTATTTTTAATAACAGTTATATATAATAACTTTTTATGAAAAATAACTTTTTTTAATACCATGCGTAAAGTACATACTTTACGTACTAGTGAAAAAAAGAGGAAAAGTTGACAAAAATTGTACATAGCAACAATAGTACCTACTTCACGCACTAGTGAAAAAAGCAACTTTTTTATTTATAGTATTAGTGGATAATATGTACGGTAGTAGAAATATTGCATACAACTCATGTGTAGTCCGTTTTTTGACTCATGTGATCGTCGCACGAGCCGTAGGTGAGTGTGACAACATAAATAACTATTTTTTCCCAATATTATGGAGGTCCTACACGCTACGATTTTTTGAGATTTGAACTACACAGTCCATCGATTCAGTCCACAACTCAACGTAAAGTGCTTGATCTGAGTTACATCTGGCCTCTCCTCTTTTATCGTTTTTTGTCTAATGTAAAGATGAAGAGTAAAATGAGCTGATTAAATCTTGCCTTTAAATCAGAACTGTGCGTTTTGGCCTGCAGGCCATATGGGAGCGTGTAGGGCCTCCATTAGTAATACAAAAGTTTTCCATAGGATTCAAATAAAAATGTATGACAAACATTTATCGTTTTCCTGACATAAACATAATAAACAATGTTATTTCAAAACGATTTCCAAAATTAGTTCGCTGAAAAGAGCACAAAAACTAATATATCAGTGCTTGCACAGTTTCAAGGTTCTTCTTATCATTGATTTATGTTTTATTTAAACAAAGCTATTGTATTTTATCATAAACACTTGAATTCTAGTCTTGTAAAAAATCTGTTTAATATTTGAATATACATTAAATGTTTCTAAAGTAGACAATAATATAAGTAGATATCTTGAAAATATTTCTTTTAGTAGTTTTCAACATGTCCTTAAAATATTTGCTTTATAATACTTTTTTACTACTATTATATACTTTATCACCCGCTTTTGCATATGGTAAGTTTTTATAAAGTCTTATAGATACATTATTTTTGAAAATATTGTGTACCTTCCAAAGAACCTGTATACATATTTATTTATCTACCCAATTAGCATAATTAGAATAGAATATACTCAGAATATTCTTAAAAATATTCTTGGAATGTTCTATGGAAATACGAAATGGACTGTTTCTAATATTCTATGAATGTTCTGAAAACATTTAGCAGAATATTCTATGAATATTTTTAGAATATTATACGAATACTTTTAGAATAATATAATTTTTTTTTACAATAATATACATAGGAGGAGACTTAATTTTTTAACTGTGTATATGTCACTAAAATAAACAAATTTAAAAAAATCTTTGAAAAAGTTGTTCATTTTTATATGCCTACACAAGTAAAAAAAAACTAAACTTATGAAACACCCTATATTGCAGAAGTTTTTGGTATCCTACTCAAACAACTGCAGTTGCCTCTTTCAGGGAGACCGGTTTTGTTTGTCTCACGGGTTGGTTGTCACAGCGGCCATAACAAAAACCTGAGTGAACGAGTAAGTTCGTTGACAGGCGTCGAAGACTCGCGGTAGCAATACCTTTCTTGGAACCCTTGGAACTTCACTTCAGTCTGCTCTGAACTGTCGTGACGGAGACACGTGCGTTTGCTGTTTTTGCATAGTGGAAGTAATTTTTTGTGCATCTGTACTGAGTACCGTAAGTATACCTAAATTTTGGATATTAATATAATTTTTTGTGTATGCTTGATGTTCAATGTGTGCTTTATAATACGATTATATAATTTTTTATATAAATATTGATTTGAACTTATTTAGGGAGGATGTTTTGTGAAACGTAGTTTTGGGCCGGTTGCCTCACGTTACCGGGGGCCGGTTGTCACGTGTGACAACCAACCCCATGCATGTATATGTATGGGGCTTGATTTTGTTATCTTTTTGAGTTTTAGCTACTTTAATGTTTGTTTGTTCCAGGGCTAGCCATAACAATGCAACGGCAGCATAAAAGAAAATCTAAGAAAGGCCTTGTTCCACCAGCACTGATGCTGCGTGCTGCCAAAGAAGTGAAAAATCATAACAAATCCATAAGGTCTGTCGCGAGGGATTTTGGAATTAACGAATTAACGAATTGTAAAAAATTTACTACAGATAAGATAAGCAATATAGCCACATCAACACCATCTACAAAAGAGGGCTACCAAAGGAATCGACAGATCTTTAACAATGAGCAGGAAAAAGAATTGGAAAAATATTTACTTCTGGAGATTTGGAAAATGGCTTTCGAGCTTGCTGTTTCCAATAACATTAAAGTTCCAAAGTCTTGGGAATCGAACAAGCTAGCTGGCTTCGACTGGTTTACGTCATTTTTGCAGATACAGCCCTCTTTGTCCATTAGAACACTTGAGGCTACCAGTCTCGCTCGAGCCACCAGTTTTAACCCACATAATATCGGAAGTTTTTTTGATAACCTTGAATCCGTAATTAAACGATATAATTTCCAGCCATACAACATATGGAACATGGACGAAACTGGGGTGACTACGGTGCAAAAACCGAACAAAGTTGTTGCTCAAAAAGGATTTAAGCAAGTTGGTGCTATTACCTCGGCTGAGAAAGAGGGACACGAGTAATCGTAGCTACTGCTGTTTCGGGAGGTGGCAATTCAGTTTCAGCATTCATCGTTTTTCCGACGGTGCATTTCAAAGACCATTTCATCAGAGATGGGCCAATTGGCTGCAAAGGAGGAAGTAACCCGTGGGCTGGATGTCAGAAGAGCTATCTGTTGCTTTCCTGAAACATTTCCATAACCATGTGAAGTCAACAATGGAAAAACCATGTCTCTTGCTGTTGGATAATCACAGCTCTCATCTATTCATTGAAGGACTAAATTTTGCAAAAGATTATGGCATAATAATGCTATAGTTCCCGCCACACTGCACTCACCGCCTCCAACCTTTAGACAGATCGGTTTGAAAAAATACATTAACAACGCAATGGATCAATGGATGGTAAGTTATCCAGGCCAACAAATGACGATATACGAAATACCAGGAATAATTGCACAGGCTTTTTTATTGGCAGTTACTCCATCCAGTATTCTTGCAGGTTTTAAAACCTGTGGGATATCCCCATTTAATCGGGACATATTTCAAGAGCACGACTTCTTGCCGTCATCAGATCCCTAATTACGAATCCTAATGGCGAAATCGTACACAATAGCGCACATAATCAAAACGATAGCACTGATCTCGCACGTAACACTGTCACTAATGAACCTGCAATGATTCCATGTGAGACGCCTGGCCCTGAAGATACTGTATCGGCAGAAAATAAGAGCCCTGGCCTTAATGCTCATTCTATGACAGCACAAAGTTTGCTTGGCTGCTTAACGTCAGAGCAATCGCTGCAGCATCAAGCTACCAAGGAACCTACCATGATCACTAGTCCTGGTCCAAGTAGTGCAGGGAGTTCTCTGATAGTATCTCTGCTAGCTTTCAAACCCCTACCAAAAGCTCCTATTTAGAAGAGAAAAAACTGGAACAAGAAGCAAGAATGACGAAAGTAACGAAACGTGTTTTGAATGAGGATAAGGAAGAGAAAAACGCTGATAAAAAGAATTCTAAAGAAAAGGAAGGAATAAGAATGACAAAGAAATCAGTTTACGATGAAGACGAGAGAGAGGATGAAGTGTTTTGCCTGGTATGCTTATCTGAATACTCTGCTAGCAAGCCCAAAGAAATTTGGATTCAGTGCCAAGAATGCAAGCTTGCACACCTGGGCTGCCTTATTACATTTGCCAGAACTGTGATTCAGAGTATTCAGACTGATTCTTTATATTGACTAGGTGTATTTTTTATTTTGGTTACGTATTCTTAGGTTTCTAGTTTGTTTGATAGAGTACCTAAGCTTATTTTGTTTTTTGTTGTAAGTAACTTTTTTATTTTTGTTAACCTATTTTTTTGATGGAAGTTTTCGTTATTTTCTTGGACATAATAGGTAATTAAGTACCTACAACCACATTTCTTCAATAAAAATTCGTTCGATTTAAATAAATGTGTTTATTTTCCCTTTAATTTATCATGTGACTACCTACCCCACACGATGTGACAACTATCGCGGGTTTCGGATTAAAAATTTTATGAGTAGTTCCAGGTAAGTACCCGAAAGTTTGACCTGTTCTTTGGGGAAATATCAACTGGTTAAATGAAATGAAAAATAATGTACAACTTTTTGATTAAATAATAATGGAGAAGCTTTTGTATAATTGATAGCAGAATTAACTTCTTCATTAATGGAGTCTAATGTGGCTATTATAAACCTAATAATAATTTTGTATTACACTTCACACAGAAAATATGGTCTATGTATATTAATAGGGTTATTTAGCTCACATAAAATATTTTCTAACATAAAAAGTTGTTCCATGTAGAGAATTTCAAATGAAAAATAAAAAAATTGAACTTGCCAACAAAAATGAAAATCAGTCATTATCATCCAAAATATCATAATCGTCATTATCATCACTGTCCTCACCATTAATTGTTATTATGATTGGACTTATTTCGTTTATTTTATTTTCACGAGTCCACCAATCTTCTATTAACAAAGGTTTTTGGTTTTGCTCTATTCTACGCCGCAGATGAAGTGGAACAGTCAAAAATTGCCTAATTTTGACTAGCTATAACTTCGACATTTCTTTACCTATGTTGGATTTTCAGTCAGAGGTGCAAAGCACCATCCTGCCTGTGTGGTCAGTGTCGTTGCATATTTTTTTTTCAATCCCTTCTTATTGTACAGAGTGTAAATGTAAGGCAGCGAAAAATGTCTGTGTTTTGGCAAAGAATTTGGAAAATAAGGGTGGCCAAATCAAGTTCTTTTTGATGTTAAGTGGATCACTAGGTCAACATCTTGAGATATCTTTGCTATCTTTTTGATACTTTGCTTTGCTATGAAAATATCGCCATTTTATGAAATTCCGTTTTTCTTTTATAATTAGCCTTTCTTTGATTAAAGAATAACATATACCGACTAAAGTACATCAAGGAATATCGTGTAAAGAAAATGGTCAACACCAGCGACGTGCAAAAAGGGCTTTATAAACTTAAAAAAAAAAAACTTGATTTTATTTGAAATTTTTAACACTTTAGTTAAGCGCTACTGTTTAAGGTGCCATAACTGTGTTGAATTTGGTTTTGATTAATTCAGAGGCGTGCAAAAGGGGTTCCGTAACTAAAGGAAATTAACTACAAGTTTTATTTTTTTTTCAATGATTTTTTATTTAGAAAGTACATACATGTAATTCACTAGAATTATTTATAAATAATTAAAAATTAAGGCGTTGGACCTCCTCTAACCTAATTACCTGCCCAATACCGCCTTGACATGTTCGAAATTAAATTATTTATTAGCTTCATATGAACTGCCTCCCAGAGCTCCATAATCATCTATTCGAGATCATCTAGAGTTTGTGGCTGATGTTCCCTTCGACGTGGTCAATGGAATTTAAGTCTGGGGTTATAGGAGGCAATTCAGTACGATTAAGATTTTGTTCTTGTAGATATCTATTTACTAATAACGCTCGATGAGGCCGAGCATTATCGTCCACAAGAACAAAATTCTTGCCATAATTTTGAGCATGCGGGAGAACTTCCGGAATCAGATATTAATTCAGGTAGACCTGGCCATTAATATTATCTCGAAATAACACGAGTTCTGTCCTTTCGTTGTGTTAAATACTGCTATAAATCGACAATCCACCACCGCCAAATGCAACTTGGAGACGCATATTTTCTTCTAAATAACGTTCTCCCCGTCTCCGCCAATTGCAAAGGTTGAAACGGCTTGGGCCCATCTTCTTCTGTTGGCCCGGTGAATGTCCGTTAAAAGTAAGCATTTGGGCAGACGACGAGCATTTAATTCCTGATCATGTAGGCGTCTTCTAATAGTGTTTGCTGAAACATTGAACTGCAGTTGTGCTCGGATTCTCTTGGAAGTCCAAACACTGTTTCTGATTGCAGTTCGTAGTACTGCTCGATCCTGTCGAGGATTAGTTCTTTTTCGGGAGCCTCCCCCGTGTCGGTAAGCAGCATTAGCATTGTTACCTTTTCTCTGCAACGCTCTTCCACCGCATGATTTCTTGACATTAAGGAACTCAGAAATCTCTCTTATTGTGTGACTTCTCTGCCGCAATAATAAAATATTCACCAAATCTGCAGCCATTTGGACGATAGCAATTTATTTTTGTTTCGACTTGTGCAATCTTACATCAAAACCTTATCTCTATGATAATATTTTTGTCGCTTTCTTAATAAAAATTCAGAAATAAAGTTTTGTCAAAGGAATTGTCTCGAATTACAAATGCAAAAATGGTGGGTACCTACTATTGCTTACTGACACTATCAGTAGGCACTTACAGTGCGAGTAGATTAAAATAGAACCCTTAATAACTTTCAGAGACACAAAAAATTGTTCTCCAAATATTGACATGTGAAAATCGCAAACAACATAAAAACTGTTTTTTACTTTGCACGCCTCTGAATTATTCTAAATAAAACTCATTAGAGTTATGGCACCTTTTAAACTGTAAATTTCAAATAAAATCAAATTTTCGTTTTTTTTTTAATTTCATAATCCTCTTTTTGCACGCCGCTGGTGTTGACCATTTTCTTTACACGTTATTCCTTGATGCAGTTTAGTGGATACCTGTTATTCTTTAATAAAAAAGGCTAATTTTAAAAGAAAAACAAAATTTCATAAATAGCGAAATATTTCCATGGCAAAGTATCAGAAATTGGTATCAAAATTATTTTTCTTGTTAAATGCGTACATTTTTCTGTGGCAACATTAACTTGAAATAATTATTACCATCGACATATAATTTAAATCGTAAGTATTAATTAAAATGTATATGTACAAGAAAAAGGACGGCAAAAAGAAGTCTATATTTATTCTCGATTAAAGTAAGATATTGAAGGTTGGCTAAAGGGAGAATTTGATGCTGATTTCAAATCAGTATTTTATTTAAAAAAATAATTGAAAAATATCATTTTTGTTTTTATTTTAATGGCGACTTAATAGGTCATTTAGTGTATTCCGAAATAATATATTGACACACTTTTAAATTGACAGTATTTTTTGTAGAAAAACTTTCCAAATTGTTTTTTGTTTTCGAGTTCTTACCGTAAGTCTGTTATTTCCTTAGATAAAAGAGACCGGAGATGTAACGTTGCACATCGCGCACGTTGTCTATTTCAACCCTAAGTAACCCACCAATTAAAAATCATTGTGTTCACGACACCACCCGAATTGCTCCGAAATTTCTATTCTATGCTTGTCTCCGCGTGAGTAAATCATTTATGGACCGCCGTTTTTTGAATTATTTGTTGGTGTCATTAGCAATTTAAAGTAATAAATTAAAATAAATTAATTTATTTACACTAATTTATACAAAAATACAAAATATAATAATACCATCTCGATATAGGTGTAAATAAATGAAAAAAATCGATAAGTGAATTTTTCACTTGTTTCGATACAGTAACAATAAAGTAGAAAAAATTACAATACATAAATACAAAAAATAATAAATAATAAAATTACAAAGGTCAGAAAGTGTTAATACAGCATTATACACATATACACACATATATGAATATATACAAATATTGATACAATAAATTAAAATAAATACAAAAAATATAGTAGATATTATAGCTCAGAAAGTGGAAGATTTAATATATACAAATATAGAACGCTGGATCTAGAAATTTTCAACTATACTAATTATTGACTGCCCCGTTTGTTCATATAAGTATGATTTCAAATATTTTTTGAATTTATGCGGATTAGTTATTACTCTTAACCCGGCATTATTCGCTATATGGGCATTTTGCTCACGTTTTTGGCTCACCGCAGATATTTTATAAAGTAATGGAGGGGATCACCCAAGACCTTGTCTAGTCTCCTAAAATACCTTTGTCTTTAGTACTTTACAGTGGTGTGGGTTGAATAGAGCTCGTTACAATTTTACAGCAGAGTTGTTTCGAACGTTCTCGTGCAGTGAGCATTTCTCTCATCGCGCGACTAACCGTGTCACTATGAGTCGTGCTAAACGTACACTTGAATTAGCTCGTTTGCAAGCTGATCAGACAAACAACAGAGGTAAGAAAAGAGTCACCATTTAATATTTTTTTCTTGTTTATGTTAATTTATTGTAATTTTTGTTTTTTTTTTTTTTTTTTCAATATTTTTATTAGTGAACGTTAGTTCTCTTTACTACGCTTTACTTGTTTTTTGCTTTTTAATTTTGCAGTTACTCGTTGAGAAATAAATAAATACAGTATGACCCTTTTTATTAAACAATAATTTTTTATAGATGCTGAAGAAAATGAAATATCCTTAGACCTAAATGATGATCAAAGAGTAGACGACCCAGAAAGTGATGCAAACAGTGAGAACAGTAGCCACAACAGATACACCGAGCAATCTGATGATGACGAAAATTTAGAAGAACAAGTTTCAGTCGTAGGACATATTCCACAAAATAATTTAGAGGGAATTCCTTTGTTCTATGGGAAAGATAAAACCTTTTAGTGGCTCAAGCATATCCCTCCTGCGTTGGGTCGCACAAGATGCCGAAATTTGGTTTCACATTTACCTGGAGTGAAAAATGTAGCTAGAAATGCAAAAACTCCCTTTGAATGTTGGAAGCTCTTTTTTCCAGACTATATAATAGAACTAATTGTACAATGTACCAATAATTGCCTACGTTTAAAACGTGAACATTTTGCCCGTGAAAGGGACTGTAAAGATACCAATTTTGACGAGATAAATGCATTGCTAGGTTTACTTTATTTGGCTGGGATAAAGAAATCTCATCATGTCAATATTGAAGAACTATGGACCAATGATGGGACCGCTCCCGAATGCTTTAGTGCTACAATGAGTAGAAGAAGATTTTACCAACTTTTACAAAATTTACGGTTTGATAATAAGGATGACAGAAAAGACCGCTTACAAACTGATAATCTGGCTGCTATTAGAACAGTATTTGGTGATTTCGTAGAACGATGTAATGCAAACTTGGTAGATGCACGTACTTTCTATACCTCCAATTCAGAAGTATATGCCGACAAACAACTCAATGGTCCATTTAACTTTGATAACAAGGCTGCATCTGTTGTCAAGCGATTAGCTCAACCAATATTGAATACCGGTCGAAATATAACAATAGATAATTATTTCACTTCAGTTCCTTTAGCGTTAGAACTCGCAAATCAATATAAAACAACAGTTGTAGGAACGTTGAGAAAAAATAAAAAAGAAATTCCTCCTGAATTCCTAAACGTCAAAGAAAGGAAACCATGTAGTAGCATGTTTGCATTTTCAGAGAACTGCATTCTTGTTTCTTACGTTCTTGTTACTGTCAACAATGCATGATGATGATGCGATTGATTCAGATACAGCGGAAAAATACAAACCAGAAATTATCTCTTTTTATAATTTGACTAAAGGTGCTGTAGATGTAGTCGATGAAATGCAAAGTTTGTATTCCGTTTCACGTATTAGCTGCAGATGGCCTTTGACTATTTTTTTCTCTTTGCTTAATATAGGAGCTGTAAACTGCTATATTATATATAAAGCTAACAATGAGAATGTTGCAATTATATCCCAAAGACGCAATTTTCTAAAAGAGCTGGCTTTGCAGCTCATAAGACCTCATGTGGTGAATCGTGCTAATATACCAAACTTGAGTCTGTCCCAACGTGCCTCTATTCACAAATTAGCTGGATTACCATTTTTGCAACAAGGGGCAAGGGATCCAAATGAAGAAAGATTTTGTCAACTATGTCCTCGACGAAAAAACAGACGAACCAAGAAATCGTGTGTTTCATGCCAACGAGCTATTTGCACAGAGCACACCACCTATACTTGTAGTATTTGTACCAGAAATGAATCTGACGAAAACTAACTAAAGCGGTTATTTTTTTGTAACATTTTGATAATAAAGAATTTAATTAAACATATGTTTTTTTTACCTAGACTTTCTGATTATTTCATAAAATCCCGCTTCTTCGTGTTGTGAGCAAAACGCTCCCGCGCGAACAATGGCGTGAAAAACTTTCTAGCGACTAATGCCGGGTTAATTCTAGTGGAATCGTATTAAACAATTTTGGGCTCATATATGAATACGAACGCTGTCCAATTGATTTTTGCATATAGTGAGTTATTTGAAATTGTCTATTCCGTGTGCAGTAAGTGTGTGATGGTATGGTGAATTTCTTATTCATGTAGTAAGAAAAAACAATTCTAAAATAATAGAGCTGACGAATATCAAACATTTTTGCCTCAATATATAACTGGTCAGTTGGAAATTTTAGGTCCTTTTTAAATATTAATTTTAGAAATCTTTTCTGTAAAATCTCTAATGGATGAAGGTGAGTTTTCAGTGCATTACCCCAAATAAGAAGGCCATATCTGAGGTGACTTTCAACCAGTGCATAGAAGATTTTAAGCTGGTTAATGTTTAAAATTGATGTTAAATATTTAAACTTATAGAGAATACATCTTAGTTTTTTGCAAGTATAAAAAATATGTACATCCCATCTCATATGCGAGTCCAAATATATACCCAGATATTTCATATTATTTACTGAATTTATTATATATTGATTGTTACTGGTATTAATATTTAGTTGATTGAAGGAGGGAGCTGTGGATTTGTTACAGAAGAAAGGGATATAAAATGTTTTTTCAACGTTTATTGTTAGGAGTTTATAGTTTAACCAATTTTGCATTGCAGGAAAATCATTTTCAAACATATTTTCAATTGCTCCCATGTGTCAGCAGTATAGAAGATCGCCGTATCATCTGCGAACCCCAGAATTTCACCCTTAGACTTAATCGAGAATAAGTTATTTATGTACAAATTAAATAGAAGTGGACCTAATATAGTGCCTTGGGGTACACCATATTTAATAGTCATAAAATCACTGTAACTATTGTCTATCCTTACAGTTTGTATTCTTTCATTTAAATACGTTTTAAATAAATTTAATGAAGTGCTTCTGATCCCAATATCTTCCAATGTTTGCAGGAGAATGTGATGGCTTACCGTGTCAAATGCCTTTGATAAATCAAGAAACACGCATAAACAAGGTTTACTGGCATCTAATGATGAATATATTTTTTGTGTTAACGCCAAAATCGCATCTTCTGTTGATTTCTTTTTCCTAAAACTATATTGATTGTTGGATAATAAATTATATTTGGTTATGTATGAGTTTAGACGAATTTCCAAAACTTTTTCAAATACCTTTGAAAAACTAGATATAAGAGATATTGGACGATAATTTATTACTTTATTTGCATCACCTTTTTTAAAGATCGGTGTTACGACAGTTTCTTTTAGACATGATGGCCATTTACCACTCTCTATACAAACATTAAAAATATATGATAAAGGCTCTTCCATATAGGGTAATATGATTTTTAAAACATCACTTTTAATTCTATCGATCCCTGGTACTTTTTTTGTTTTTAAATTATTAATTATATTTCTTATTTCTTTCACATCAATAGGGTACAACACAAAACTATTTGGGATACATGTTTTTGGAGGAATATACTGAGGGTCTTGTATGATTTTTTTTGCTAGAGTTTCTCCTGTTTTTACAAATATTTTATTAAATTCATGAGATATTTGGATTGGATCTGTTAGTAAATTTCCCACTTCATCTTTTATCGATTTTATTTCAAGATTCTTTTTATTGCAATGTGACATATCATTAATAATTTTCCAAAGCTGCTGTGAGTCAGATTTATTTTTATTTATGAGATTTTGATAGTATGTATATTTGCACTGTTTAATTAAATTTGTTATTTTATTTCTTACATTTTTGTATTCACTTTTTAAATAATCATTATTAGGATACCTTTTTACTTGTTTGTGTAATTTATTTTTATTATGTATTGTTCTGACCAGTTCATTAGTTATTCAGGGTGTAATTTTTGAATTTTTTCTATATACCTTGACGTTTTTTGTACACAGATTTATGTGTGATGTTACAATGTCAACGAATTTTTTTGTTATAGAGTCAGGTTCACTGATTTCAAAGAGATTATTCCAAGAAATCTGGCGAAACTGTTTTTTTAATTTTTCATAATTAATATGTGCTTTAGTATGTTGTATGCGATTAGACATGTTTTTGTTATTATTAAGATTGTAAATTAGTTGCAGCTCCGTGGAATAATGATCTGTAATGTTAGTTTTTATTATTAAAGGTATTACGTATTCCAACATCGACCGGTTTTTTACTTTTACAAAAATATGATCAAGACAAGCCTTGGAGTCTCCTTGAATCCTTGTTGGACTATTTATAATGGAACTATAACCAAATTCACTAAACACACTCAGATAGTCATTAGTGCATTCTGTGTCTACCATTAAATCAATATGTTGATATCACCTAAAAAAATTTGACAATATTCATTAATCTTATCATTTTCACGTAGAAAGTCCTGCAAAGGTTCAATGAAATTGTTGGCTACAGATGAAGGTGATCTGTAATAGGCTGTTACTATTATATTTTCAAATTCGTTTATAGATATTATTACTTGAAGGGCATTCGTATCGCATAGGGGCAATATTTTATATGTATATTTGAAACATGTTTTTATAAAAATCACCACCCCATCACATTTATAGACTTCCGCTATTGTAAATAATCGAATAACCAGGAAGAGCAAACACATCCAGGTCTTTAATTATTCTTGTTTCTGTGAACACAATACAATCGACATTCACGTCCAGTTCATTCAAAAAAAGTTTGTATTCATCTAAATTTTTATTTAAACTTCTGATATTATTATGTATAATTTTAAAATTGGCAGTATTTCTATTTATCGATAAAACATCATGTAACTCTTTGTTATTACTAAGACTGAAATCTTCTACTTTTTCAACAATAAAATCTTTAATATAGGGATCCATTAAATTTATTCTTAAAAACTAATTACAAATACTGAAATAGATCGAAACAGAACAAATAAAAACTTATCATATCTATTAGACTAAACAGGTCCTAATTGATTTTGACTTTACGAGGTTCACGTCAATAATTGTACTTTGTTTTTAACAGGCCTCTTTATTAAATCGGATGCAGTTTTTGTCGATTTGCTGTGTATAGTAGCCCCGTCAGATCTCAAACGGAATTCCCTAGTATTGTTTTAGTTATTCAATTTCAAGTGGAAAATGCCACGATGTATGGTGAAAAATTGTATACAGGGTGTACCAATAAGAACTCCCAGGCCGGATATTTTGGTAAGTAATAGAGATATTTTAATTCTGTAAAAGCCAGTTCACAGGGCACTAAGAGAGCTTCAGTTTTAGATATAAATTGATTTTAAATAGGTCAATATGTAGATGGCGCTGCGCTCAATAATTATTTTTCGATGGGAGGATCTTTCTTGTGTAGCGCATCTTGTAAAAAATGCATTTTTAAGCAAATTTTGTTTTATGAACTAATTCGATAAATGTAGCCATTTTTGATATACAGAGTGGGTCATTCAAAACAGTTTCATCCTGTTTTTCGGCATTAAACATTGTATTTTTGGAAAATGCTAAAACAGGTCGATTTTTATTCCAAATTAAAGACATTTATACAATATAGACATATGTCATGTGTCAACCCCCTCCCTTATACTTCTCGACACCTTAATTTTAAATAGGTAATGTACCATGTATGGCTCATCATTGAAAAGGTAATTTAATGGGGGATTCAGAAATATTTCTGTAAATTACGTTACTTAAATTTTATCGCCCTCTAGCGGGATAAAAAACTACTACGTATTGTAGAGTGTGATACTACAATGTGTAGTACATCATTAAAAAGGTAATTTTATGGGGAATATAGAAATATGACTGTCCATTGTGATACTTTTAATTGTACTGCCCTCTATCGGGAAAAAGAACTACGTATTTTAAAGTGTGACACCTTATTTGAAAGCAAATTTAATTAATAATTCAATGTACCACATAACATTAATTAATAACATAATATTATTATAAATATCCACATTGCACTTGCAATAGTTTAAAAATTAGTCATGCATTATTTTAAACATTATTGCTAACTTTATTTTGTTGCAAGTGCAATATGGAAATATTTATATTAATGTTATGTGGCGCATTGAATTAGTATTTAAATTAGCTTTCAAATAAAGTGTCACACTTTAAAATACGTTACAGATTTTTTATCCCGATAGAGGGCGCTAAAAATTAAAAGTTTCGCAATAAACTGTCATATTTCTGACTTCCTCATAAAATTACCTTTTTAATGATGTGCCGTACATGGTACATTCCTTATTTAAAATTAAGGGGTTGGAGAAGTGGAAGGGAGGAGGTTGACACATGACAGATGTCTGTATTGCAAAAATGTGTTTAATTTAGAATAAAAATCGACCTGTTTTAGCATTTTGCAAAAATACAATGAATAATTCCGAAAAACAGGATGAAACTGTTTTGAATGACCCACTCTGTATAACAAAAATGGCTAGATTTATCGAATTAGTTCATAAAACAAAATTAACTTAAAAATGCATTTTTTACAAGATGCGCTACATAAGAAAGATCCTCCCATCGAAAAATAATTATTGAGCGCAGCGCCATCTACATATTGACCTATTTAAAATTAATTTATATCTAAAACTGAAGATCTCTTAGCGCTCTATGAACTGGCTTTTACAGAATTAAAATATCTCTATTACTTACCAAAATATCCGGCCTGGGAGTTTTTATTGGTACACCCTGTATACAAATAATATAAGTGTTAATGTTATGAAAAATAAGAAATATATTCGTTTCCAGCGGTAAATATTTGTTGACGTTTTGACAAAGTCGCCATGATTCTTTGAGCTGAATACTTCAGATCCGCATTAAGGGGTTTCAATAAATATTAAGCATCAAATACAATATTTCAAAAAATAGATTTCATAATGCATTAATTTAAAAAAGAGTAAAATTTTAAACATTTAATTTAAATAAGAAGTATTTTTATAAGAATATTTACTAAAGGTGGTTTTTAGCCCTTATTAGGTATTTTTACAAGAATATTAGATGAAATACAGGTTCACCTGCTTAAAATTTCAAGGTTCATTTTATTTGCGGTTAAATCGGAAGTGACATTTGAATCTTAAGTATTAAAACAAAGTAAAACGCGCAATATGATCTAGTATAAGCAAAAAAATACTAAAGTTACGGAAATTAGTCATATTATTAGTAAAATGTTATATTATAAACCCCTAAACAACTCGAAAAAAAATCTTCGTTTACTAAAAAAATCTAAATTCTAGCAATATTTATTATACAATCGATTGCGGTTTCAAAGATAACAGGATCAATGAATCCGAATCTCTAAATTTTGGAGCTAAATGCTCGGATAAAAGCATGTAACCGATAGGGGTTACAAAAATATTCGATTTGTCGTTTTCATGAATATCGATTTATCCGATATAATTAATCGATTATTTTTAATCGATTATTTTTGATTAATCGATCATTTTCAATAATTTGTTTTCGTTTTTTTTTAGGTAATGGAATAATAGATTATAAAGGAATTTCAAAAAGAAAATAGATTTATTCAACATATTCGATTTATTATATTCGATTTTTTTAGAAAAATCGATTTATTGCTTATTCGACTTTTTAAATTAATCGATTATTTTCGATTTACCGAATATTTGTGATAAATCGATTATTTTCGATTAATCGATTATTTTCGATTTTTCAAAGGATTCGAATAATTTGTTTTAAATGAAATGCGAAAAATAGATTATATAAAAATAATCGATTGATCGAATATAATCGGTTTTTTGTATAATAGATATTTAGATTATTTTTTAGAATTATCGATTTATCGGTCAATCAGCTATTTATTAATCGATTATTTTCGATTTTTCAGAGATAATCAAATAATCAATTTTAAATGAAATATGAAAACAGAAGTATTATTTAAAAATAATCCATAATTCAGTTATTTTTTTTGAAAATCTATTTATCGTAGAATCGGCTTCTTAAATGTTGGTTATTTTCCCTTAATCGATTATTTTTGATTAAGCGATTATTTTCGATGTTTTAATAATGATCGAATAATTGATTTTAAAGGAAATAATTCTTTTTTTTTTAAATCGATTTATCGATTATTCGACTTTTTAATTAATCGATTATTTTTGATTAATCGATTATTTTTAATTAATCGATTATTTTAGATTTTTCAAAGATTATCGAATAATCTGTTTCAATGGAAATACGAAAAAAAATAGATTTTTTAAAAACAATCGATTATTTAAAATAAACGATAATTCGTTTATTTTTTGTAAACACTGATTTATCGGTTAATTGGCTTTTTCAAAGATAATCAAGTAGTCGATTTTAAAGGAAATACGAACAAAAATAGATTGTTTGAAAATAATCGATTTATCGAAAATAATCGATATCTTTTTCTGAGGTTATAATACAAAACAGCATATTCTCATTTTGACTAATTTTTAATATTATGCCAAGTCGTAGAATAAATATAATGTTTAACTCAAAAGTTTGATTTGCAGTATTCGCCAAGGCACATGCTTTTTTTATAATACTCTTAGACAATGAGTACCATTTCTTACTCGATTAACAATATTCTATTTCAACATTTTACTGTAGTCTCTTATAGGAAAGTCCGTAGTTAATAATAGCTAACGAAATATTCTATAAAAGGTCTTCTCTTTACATAAAATGTCGTGGCATCTGTTTGATATTAAAAAAATCACGTTAAATTTATTTCATAATACAAAATTCCATTAAACGTATATTTTAAATAAATCTAAAAGTTCATTATGATGCTAATAAACAAAGTCCGGTCCCTGTCACAGAGTTCGGGTACCTGCCCAGTTCCCCCACTCCGTTAACCTTTTTATAGAAATTGGCAACATTTGCGCAGGTTAAACACCGGTGTATATTATATCTCTGGTTTCTTTTATCTAAGGTTATTTCTAATGGTGGCTATTTTAGATTTTACATAATATTATTATTATTACCGTCATTACCTTTTAAACGATGTGCATGACATCAATGTTTTTGAGAAATACTCTTAAATTAAAAAATATATATAGTGTCCTTAATTTGGCAACATCGCATCCATTGTTTGTTTTAATATTACATATTACTACTAATCTTTGTTACTATCATTTAAAAATGCAACCTTAACGGTGACCACTAAGGTTCAGCAAACGATCGATTTTTTATTTGGTATTCTTACAGCCTTACACCGCGACTGTCAAACTTTCAGTAATTATTAAGCAGTCTATTTTACTCCCAGATTTTTATAAATTTCTTGTTTCAGAGTGTGAAATAGATCCATTTCTACCCAATGCTCCATTGTTAATTAATTCATTGGATAAAAGTGTTGTTTATCCAAAACGTAATCAAAAAACAATCCTACTAAACGAAGGGGATCAAATAAATTTCGCCTGTCCTCAAAGTGAAGTTCATTATAAAGGAGCTGAAATAACTAAGTCAGGTGCAAAAGATTTAGTCGCAGCTAAATGTAAAAATAATAGCTTTAAAGTGAAGAAAGATTCATTTGAATGGAAACATATTACTTGCAAACTTAAACCCAAAGCAGCAGTTGATCTGTCAAATCGTCCGTGTGCTACTAACGCCCGATACGCCAACATAGGATATCTTTTAAGTGACAGGACGTTTATACAAATCATCGAAATTTGTTTTGATACTAAACAAGAAATTACATTATTTTCTAAGCACAAGGTACCAGCATGCATTAATTCACGTGATAAATCTACTTTACGACCGACTTATTGGCAAACAGATTCTGGATTTTTCACCAAAAGGTACAATTTTCATGAGTTATACAAGAAAATTAACGAAATGCAAACTATAAAGGGACTATTAGGCATAAATGATAATGATTCGAAATTTATGGATAACAGCTCATTATATCTGGCTAGAGGCCATTTGGCTTCAAGATGCGATTTTGTTTATGGCCCTTTCCAGGACGCTACATTCAGATACATAAATACTGCACCTCAGTGGCAAAGTTTCAACGGTGGTAATTGGTTGAAAATAGAAAATGATATTAGAAAATACGCTCATAACAAGGAAGTAGATTTGGATGTATGGACAGGTACTTACGAAGTAACAAAATTACCTCACATGATTACTGGTCAAGACATCATGTTAAGTTTATATTCAAATAAGGGCAAACAAGATGTTTTTATACCCGCTATTTTTTGGAAAGTAGTATATTGTCGAACTAATGGACATGGAATAGTGATTATTGGGGTAAATAATCCCTATGAGAAAAATACACAAAGGTACAAATATTGTACAGATATTTCATCACAAATAAATTGGATTAATTGGAAAAAGGAAAATCTTATGGGAGGTTATTCATACGCATGTCAAATTAACGATTTTAAAAATACTGTAAAATATATACCTGACCTAAATGTTTATGGTATATTAAATTAAGATATATTTATAGCTGTATGCATAGTCGATCGCCAGCGACTCGCCAGAGATTCATTCCGGCGTTTCGCCAGCGATTCGCTGGCGATCCGCCGGCGAAAGCCCAAAAATCTGGCGTCTCGCCTGAGATTGTCACCGGAATGTCATTTCACGCAAGTTTTTATTTTCTTTTATAGGGATTATCACCGGTATCTCTCGCATTTTATTCATGATTCATTTCTTAAAACTCAAAAAATAATGAATGAATATCAAATTTTTCCCTATAAAAGAACATGAAAACTTGCGTGAAATGACATTCCGGTGACAATCTCCGGCGAGTCGCCAGCTTTTTGGGCTTTCGCCGGCGGATCGCCAGCTAATCGCTGGCGAGTCGCTGCATACGGCTGTTAGGCTATAATAAATACAAAATTGGATGTTGTTCTAAAATTATTAAAGAAATCATAATACTCTAAGTTATGAACTCTTATTTGTCACTAACAGAAAAAATATAATTATTTTAATGACCTAGCAACTGCATCAACAAGAAATAAACTACAGATACTTTAAATTTTCAATTACAAAATATTTTTCTTACACCCCTTATCAATAATTGAAGTAAAAACGATAATACAAGAACTATCTCCTAGCATCCTACTAACTCACTTTAAGTTAACGTTTAAATATGTCAGTTGTAAACACTTAAGCCGGCCACTCACGTGCAGTTAAAACTGTCAGTTTTAACAGCACAGTTAAAACTGACAGTTAAGACTGTAAGTTAATGGCTATTTTAATTACAGTTCAACTCCAATTTTTCGACTGTACAGTTTAACTGAGAGAAATAAAATTATTTATATTTTTAACTGAAATGACAGATTGAACTGTGTGTGTGTGGCCCATTAAACTGTCATTTCCATACTGCTCAGTTTAGTTTCTGCCGATTGCCTGTTTAGAAAGTAAAATGTCTCGTAAAAACCAAACAAAGTTATGGTTGACTTTATCGAGTTATATCGATCGGAACCTTGCTTATGGCAAGTTAAATCTGCCGATTACCACGATCGCGCAAAGAAGGATGCTGCATACAATACATTGGCCAAAAAGTTGGGGGAATTAGAACTTGGTGCCACAAAAAAGAGTGGCTTAGCAAAAATAAACAACCTAAGGTCAGCTTTTCGCAAAGAGCAAAAGATAGTTGGGATATCAAAGAAGTCTGGAACATCTGCAGATAGTATCTACAAGCCGGTGCTTTGGTACTTTGACCTTTTGGAGGCGTCAACTTCAAATCTGGACAGTGATAGTGAGGAGGTAAGAAAAAAAAACGATATAATTATTGTATAGTATATATTTATTTGTTTTTTAAAATGTGGTTATCTTGCCATGAGATTTGGCCATCATTCATGAAGTAGTTCTTGAAACTATTTCTGATTTCTTCTGCCACATTACAAATATTTCCTGCACAACGATTAAGTGGAATCAAGTTCGATTGAGAACTATCGCAACCGATAGAAATAATAGACCCATCATTCCTATTTTCTTGATACATAGAGTTTGTAGGGACGTATGTACTAGACTGATGTTTAATTAAAAAGTTATGCAAAGTACAAGCAGTCATTACTACCTTCTCCACATTTCGTGGTTCTAAATTAATTGAGTACTGAAAGATATGAAACCGTGAGGTAAGTATCCCAAAGGCGTTTTTGACAGTGTGTCTTGCTCGAGATAATCGATAGTTAAAAACCTCTTTTTTGGCTAAATCTGTTAGTCCTTGCCTAAATGACTTCAAAATGTCTGTTCTAAGAGGAAACGCATCGTCCGCAACGAAGACATACGGAACATTCTTGAAATTATTGGTAACATCGTCAGGCTGAGGAATATTTAAAATCTTGTTCACCAGCCTTTCAAAAAAAAGATGTGTTCTGAAGAACACCGGTATCGGAAATTCGTCCATTTTTCCAAAATCCACCAGTATTAATCGGTATTTTGCGTCAACTATTGCTAGAAGAACCGTACTATGTTTGCCTTTGTAATTATAATAATAAGATCCACTATATTTAAAACTTACTAAACTTGACTATCGATTAGTGATAAAAATATAAAAAATCACTAACCATTAAGATATTAAAATTAAACAAAGTTTTAGATAAGGTAGCAACAAATTCTAATTTACAGAGATTTACTTATTCAAATTTAGATGATTTATTGAAGTGAAAACTTAGATGGAGTGGAAAAAAACTAAAAATAAGGTTTTTGAAATATTTAGGTTTTGTTTTTTACAATAAAATATTAGGTTACCGTGGAACTTATTGAGAAATTAATATTAAAAAAATCAAATTTTCAAGTAACCTAGTTGAAAATTTTTTGTGATTTTATCTTTTAAAAATGCAATATATTTTAAAGATTGATATTAATTTTATTTACTGCCCTCTCTAATGCTTCATCTGTAGCAGCAATCAGAGTATCATTTGTACACTGATAAAGGTTAGTAATAAAATAATAATTGAAAGGGTTCAATACTAGGAAGTATTCTAATTTATTTAATACAAGTTATAAAAGTAATAAAAAAACGACTTTAGAATCGTGCAGATGCCATTACAAATTGAGTATGCTGATTTTCTCATAAATCCCATCACCAGAACTTGACCAAAGTTATGTGGGATCATCCCTTAGATGTCCCCTTTCTAATAAAAAAGAATCATAGAAATCGAACAACTTGATAAATAATTATCGCTGAACATACATAAAAAAATATTCTGATGAGTTGAGAATCTCCTTTTCATTTGAACTCTGTTACAAATGGAGCTTCACATGTGATATATATGATTATTTACAATGAAAGTTTGAATTTGACACAAAAATTACACAATACAAACTATGAACCACTGCACTGTTGACAAAACCATGGATCTTGGGGAATCTGGAGTAGTCCTACACATTCTAAGTGAAACCACTGAACTTCACATGTGTCATTTTCACATTTTAACATATCTTGGTCATTATTTATATTACAAATACAGCACCTTTGAGATAGATGTTTACCTTTGGTAAAATACCTTCCCAGAAGCTCAGGAAGTATCACTTTTTGATGAAAATTACAGGCTTTCGAAAAATTGAGCACCCAAAAATTATCATCAAAAAATATTCTTTCTTCAAAAAATTCAGTTGGTGAATATACTACAAAATCACAGAATGCTGTATTTGTCACTTTCAGTTAAACCTGAACTTGGTAATAGTACATGTGATTCCTTTTAAGAAACAAATTTGTTCCATCACTTGTTAGACAAGAATTTTTAAGATCTAAGTATTCGCCCATGTTCAAATTTTTTAATAAGTATGGACACTTCACCTCAACACAACCACTGCTACAACAGTCACAAGACACCATGGCATCTGGAGAAGCAGCAAGGAAGGAATTGTTGACATGAACATACAAACCAATCTTCTCCATTTTAAAATTTGTGTGTGTCTGCATTTTGTCTGATAGATATTCTTCTAAAGGTATATGTTTATGATCTAATCCCCACTCTGTTACTTGTGACTTAAAAATAACATTCAATGGATAGCAAATGGTTTTAACAAGTGACAAAGAAGGTTTTAAAATAGATGTATGACAAACCCTCTTAAAATGGAAGCCGTTATGCGCCCAGCCCTTTGTTTGAACCAATCTGAGGATTTGTTTTGTTTCACCGTTGCCAATAAAATATTTTTACATTAATCCACACTCAATGTTTGGTCAATCTCAAGTGCCAGAGCACTAAATGTTCTTAGGTGTGTACTTCATTTTCTTTTTTATATAATGTATCGTACAGAGATGGTAGAAAAGATCTCTGAATATTTCGACTTAAATCTGATGCGTAAGGTTTAACTACACGCATAATTGCTGCCTCATCACCACCTTCTTTCATTTTATCTAAATAATTTGAGAGTTCTTTACCTTCAATGGCAGGAATTGTACTTAATGAAGAAATTCTTCCAGGTGTTAGCTTTTTTAGCTTCATTTCACCAAGCTTAATAATAGGAACATTAGAAATGGATAGAATGAGCCATTTTGCCTTTACGTCTGTACAGGAAGAATTACTCATAGATCGGTGAATATGTTCCAAACCAAAAAGAAGAGCTGCAACGTGACTGCACACTTCAGAATTGCCTGCCATACATGTACAATGAGCAGAATTTATTGCACCATCTTTTTCACAGATAATCCATACTTTAAGCAATGGATTATTCATTTTTTGTGAATGCCTAACCTAACTTTAAAAATTATTACCTTGTCAAGTATAACAAGATGTTCTCCAATTGTTCTTGCCTCACAATCATGTACAAATCCAGCTTCATAATATTTATAGCCTGCCAAGCTTTTGTAAGCTTTCATCTGCTGGTTTGTATAAAAACTATGTGTTAAAACCAGATAAGTACTTATATCAAATGCCGTTACTGGTGGAAAATGACTCGCAGGACTCAAATTAGTTTTAGATTTTGCAGGGGTTAAACTAAACGGATCGATGCACTGTATAACCCTAATTTTGTCTTTATATCGAACCGCAATGTCTTTATTGTCTAGTTCTAACGATAATAAATATTCACTTTTTTTAAAAACATTCATTTGAGCCATTAATAAAATGTTGCACAGTTACCCTTACACACACAAAAAGTTAATTGTTCAAAAATACCTAACTACAAACACCTAACTATAATTAAAAGAAGTTTACAAATTGTTCTTAAATCACAAACAATAAAACAAATATTAAAAAACTAAAATACACACTTTTAAACGCAGTTTAACTCAACAAAACATCAAGAATACTATGTTTGTCAATGTTAAATATTTTAATGTGTGTCTACAGGCAGCCATTTTTAAAGGGCTAGGGTCACGTGTTCTGGACAGCCTAATTCTAAGCCTTCTTCAAAGGGACTCGAACGATACTCTTCGGACAGCACAGGTATTAATCTTCATAAACTCAAATCTCATAAACTTCTTTAGATGCAGCTTTAACTAAACCTCTTGATAGAAATCCGCATAAACAGTTTTAGATAGATCTTGAATTTAACTTCTAAACTATGACTCGAAATGGACTTCTTCGATACAGTTTGAACTAAACTTCTAAACCGTCTAGATACAGCCAGGCTACAAGGAAAAGGTAAAAATATCAAGAAAGGAACTAGGAGATTTGCATAGGAAACAGATAAAATGCCTTTAACTAATAATTGAACAATTTAAACTAGTAAGTAAATAGTTTCACAGAGACTAAAATTAATATGAAAAGGAAAAGTCTTATTTAACATATTTAAATATAGTAAAGCATAGTATCTCTAACAAAATAATAGATAAAATTATATAAAACGTGTAATCCGTGTGTTATTCAAGTATTGAGGATGTTTTTCAAATTTGACATTTTAATTAAGAAATCTTTGTAGAAAATATATATTTTTAACAATATATCGGTATTCAAATTTACCTTACAAAATCAGACGGCCTATAAGATAGATAAAATTTATTTAGTACATCGGATGATCCAGATAATTAAAAATTTAAATAAACTTATTCGTTGACAATCGAAATGAAAATGATTTTCGGACGCAAGGCATAAACGGCAAATGACATTAGAGTAGAGATTTTTGCGTCTAAATAACGAAAACGGTTCCAACCTTACAATGTTTGGGTCTAAATAACGAAAACGATTCCAACCGTTACACAATATATTATTATTTTTCTAGGAATCGGCTGACAATTCACTTCCAGTTGAAAAAGATGTAAACGATTATGTTGATGTTGAAGGCTCTACATCAGCAACTGAGAATGTTCCAGCAAAACAACAAAGTACGCCAATTTCAAGGCCTGGTTTAAATAAAAAAAGAAATATTAATGATGATCTGTCAACAGAAGTACTTACTACAGTGCGCGACCACTTCAAAGCACCAAAGGAACAACCTGACCGTTAATTGTCGAAACTTCAAGACGGTAAACACGTTAATTTGAGCTCCAGTAAAAAGTGTTAAATGTGTTGTAAAAACGTGATCAAAGATTTTGAAAATTAAACTGTTTGTGTATCTAAGCTAATGACATCAACCTGTAAAATCATATAGGAAAAACAGGCTTTAGTTTATGAGAAAACTGCATATCTTTATCCAGAATAAGGTAAATTTATTATTTATCACCTACAACATCTAAATAAGGGAATTTAGTTCAAGAGCTAACCTAAACTTTAAGTACACTGTTCTAATGTCTGAAAACATTGAAGAATTAAAGAAATTTATCGTTCAGCAGAACGAAATTCTTAGTAAAACAATTACTCAACAAATTTCAGAAGTTAAAAAAGAAATATTAGATAATAAGAAGTATGTACAAAATTTAGAACATAAAATCATACAACTGCAAAATAAAAATGAAACTTTAGAGAGGATTTCAAAAGAAAATAATATAATTATATTTAACTCGCAATACAAAGAAGGCGACGATATACTGTAGTTTACAATTAACTTATTCGAACAATATCTTGAACTACAAATCCCGGAAGAAGAATTTAGTAAACTATATACATTTAAGGACAAAAATAACGAACCTGTTATCTTCGTTAAACTCACCAGATACTTAACAAAGACCACTGTGTTAAAAAATACCAAGAAACTAAAAGGGAAAAATATATACATAGTCGAAGATTTGACAGTTGAAGAGCGAAAAGAACATAAGGTACTGGTACATCACCTAAAAGAAGCTCGAGGAAACAATCAAAAGGCCCACATATTTCGAAAAAACTTGTATATAGATGGCCAGCGGCACACATACAATGATCTAGTGCAGAAGAGTAACGTACATAGTGTAAGAATAAATGTCAACGGCGACGATGAAGCAACCCAAAGTGACCAATCTTTACCTGCTGAGAAAAACTACGAAGATTTGAATTCAAAAATTCATCGAAGTAATTCCAGCTCCAGTACTAAAAGTGAAAGAAATTTAAGAAGCAGCAAAAAAGAAACCGTTTAAATCGTAGTCAATTAAGTACGTACTTTTTAGATATTTTAAACAAACTTTATTTTATTTTATTTTAATTCATGTATTGATTTTATTATTCGTTGTTAAAATACTTAGTAGTAGATTGATAATTATTTTATACTGTAATTTCTTTGTATGAAATCAATAGTTACAATTCATTATCTTTATGGATCCTTATATACGAGATTTTAAAGTAGAAAAAATATCAACATATTCTCTAAACACTGCCAATGAAGCAAAGGAAGTTTTATCTATAAATAATAGTTCTAAAAATTTTAAAATTCTTAATACCAATATTAGTAGTGTTTCAAAAAATATAGATGAGTTAAAAATTTTTCTTGAAGGACTTGGAACATCTTTTGAATGCATAGTTTTAACAGAAACTTGGCAGATTCCGGATACCTCTTTCCTTGATATGCCTAATTACATAACCCTTTATAGTGAAGGTGGATACAATCAAAATGATGGTGTTATTGTCTTTGTAAAAGCTAACCTGTACCAAAATCATAACCAAATTCAACTAAATGAAAGTATTTTACTTAAAATTAAATTAATGGTAGGTAGACAATCTGTTGGCATTTATGCCTTCTACAGATCTCCAGCAAGTAGAATTAATGATTTTTTAGACCAACTAAATGATATATTAAATGAAGGCAATGATAACTTTCATCATAGTTTATTTATAGGAGACATAAACATTGACTTATTAAGGAAAACTGAAGATTCAAAAAATTATCTTGACATGATGAGTGAGTATGGGTTTCAATCAACCATAAATACTGTGACAAGGGAAAGAAATGGATCTAAGTCATGTATAGATATATATTTATAAAAACAGAACAACAAAATTATGATAAACTAATACCAATCACTCTCTCTACTACAATCACTGATCATTACATAACTTTATTACAAATTGTATTAAAAAAAGGAAATGGTAATCTCATGCACAATAATAATGACAAATATTTAAAAAAAATAGATGAAACAATGTTACAAGAAGTTAGTAGACGTATTAACTGGGAAGTTGAATTATACCCAATACAGGATCTTGAATCTGTAACAAAGAAATTTATTGATTTAATAAACACTTGCATACATAAATCTACTAAATATATTAAAATAAAAAATAGTGAACGAAAAAGAAAAAATTGGATTACGAAGTCATTAATTAAACAGGTAAATGAGAAAAATAACTTATATTTATTATGTAAACAAAATCCAAATAACGACAATATGAAAAATAATTATTTAACATATAAAAAAGAAACTGAAAAGAATATAAAAAGTACAAAAAAGGAATATTATAAAAAATTAGTAGAAAATGAACAAAAATCAAGTAAAAAACTTTGGAACACGGTAAATAAAATATTAAGTATTAAAACAACAAAACAAATAAATAACATTAAAAACGAAAAAAATTAAATTGTTACAGATCCTAATGAAATTGCAAATATATTTAATAACTTCTTTGCCAATGTAGGACAAAACTTAGCAAAAAATATAAATAAAAATCCAAACTATAAAAGTAAAAAATCTACTAATAATAACTCAATTTTTCTTAACCCTACAAATATAACTGAGGTACAAAACACCATACATGGTTTAAAAAATAATAAATCTCCTGGGGAGGATGGAATAAAAGCTGAAACGTTAAAGATTATTTCACATTCTATAAGCAAACCCTTGACAGACATCATTAATAAATCAGTTGAAACAGGCTACTTTCCCTCAATTCTAAAAAACTCAATAATAACCCCAATATTTAAAAGTGGAGATACCGAAAATGTCACGAATTATAGGCCTATCTCGTTATTGTCATCAGTTAGCAAAGTTTTTGAAAGAATTTTAAAAACTAGACTAAATGCCTTTTTATCCAAATATAATCTGCTGTCAACATCGCAGTATGGGTTTAGAGATAATAAATCTACACAAGATGCAATACATTCTTTAACAAAAACCATCTATGAATCTTTAGACTCAAGCACTCCATCTATAGCAGTTTTTCTGGATTTAAAGAAAGCCTTTGACACAGTGGATCACTCCATACTTCTAGATACACTGGAAGATATGGGTGTACGAGGTACAGCGCATAAGTTGTTTAAAAGTTATTTAACAAACAGAAAACAGAAAGCAAAATTTAAAAATATAATTAGTGGAGAGGTAGAAATCACGTGTGGCGTACCTCAAGGGACGGTGCTGGGGCCGTTGTTATTTGTAAGTTATTTAAATAATTTATTCATACAGGATACTATCGGTAAAATTATAAGCTTTGCGGATGACACTATAATATATTATACGAGTAACAACTGGTACAATCTAAAATTAAGCATTGAAAAGGATCTTAATAAACTCAAAGACTGGTTTGATAGTAGATTACTTTCAATCAATTTTGAAAAAACTCTATACATACCTTTTAGTAGCTATGACATATCTTTGCCGGAATACAGTCTTAAAATCCAACAAAACTTTTCAATAAAACCTGCGAAAAAGATCAAATATTTAGGGATATATATAGACAATCATCTCAGATGGGACTATCACATAGATTATTTAACAAAAAAACTACGTAGTATTTTATTTAAATTTAAACAAGTTGTAGGATTTTTGGAATATAAACATAGAAAAATTCTATATCATAATTTGGTTGAATCACATCTTCATTATGGCATTATTGGTTGGGGAGGGGTATCAAGAACTTACCTTCGTGCACTTGAAGTCTCTCAAAAACGGTTTCTTCGAATAATATTCAATAAAACAGCAAGACATTCAAGCAATCTTCTCTATAGTGAATCACAAATGTTAGATATTAGGCAATTATATAGTATCCAGCTAGGGTGTCAACAGTACAAAAACAAAAATGAACTTACCAGATTAAGCCATCAATATCAAACAAGAACAAAACACTTACACTGTATACCAATAACTTCGAAATCTGTAGGACAAAGAAGCTATGTATATTTAGGTCCAAAACTGTTCAATTACTTACCACAGAGAATAACAGAGGAAACTTCTTATAAGAGCTTTAAAAAGCAACTTACACTCTACATAAAAGAAAGTGAAAGAACAGATATTCATAAAATAATAGAGAGTTGAACAAGAACAAAATAGAAAATAAAAAATAAAAATTTTTCTCTTAGTCTATTCTTTCAATGATTTTAATTAATATTTTATGTAGCCTAGTAAATAAAAAAAAAAAAAAAATATATATAAAAAAAAATTTAAAAAAAAAATGTATAACTTAAAATTATTATATATTTTATCAAGTTTTTATTTAATGCATTTCTAATATATGTATTTAAATATGTTCTTTTAATAATCATATTTTTTTTTACCACAAACAAGTATTTATAATACTTCAGTGGATATTTTTAGGTTTATTCATCCAATTGGATTGATTGTATGTATTTTTAATTATTGTATATATTTTTTATTATGAATAAACATTATTATTATTATAATCTGATAGGAAAAACAGTTGCTGTGAGATTGAGAAGTCTAGGAAAACGTCAGGTCCTCATTGCGGAAAAAATTAATGACGTGCTATTTGAGGTTAAAATGGGTTATCTAATTACATCGCCAATGGATCATTATAATATATCAGCAAGACAAAATCCTAATACCACACAAACGACACCGTCAACGTTTATAGGTGCTTCAATCAGCGAAACTCAAAACAACGGAACTGGACAATCCCTCTACTCTCAAAACAACTAAGCAATCTCATGTATTAATAATTCTACTCCAAGTACGGCACCGTCAACGTCAAGAAAGACACCTAGCTTATTAGCAGAAATTCATTATTCTGATAACTCAACACCTTCTTATTTTAATAATATGAGTCTAAGTCCCACACTGTCAGAAAATCATTATTCACAGAACAGCTCAGCATCCTCTTATTTTTCTCATTTTAGTGATGAAGAAATTAGGCAACAAAAATGAAACTTAA